ATAATAATATAATAATAATAATAATAATAATAATAATAATAAAGATATGTAATAGTAGTAATAATAATAATAATGGTATTAATAGTAGCAGTAGTAGTAGTAGTGATGATGATATGATGATGATGGATGATATGATGATGATGATGATAGTAATAATAATAACACTAATAACAATAATATTCATAATAATGATAATAATAAAATAAATAATTACAAAAATAACAACAAAATTACTATTAGTAATAACATACTACTAATAATAACAAAACTATGGATACCAAAAAAGTAACCACGAGAATTGTAAAAATATATATACATAAAAAAAAAATAATAATAATAATACTGATAATAATGATAATGAAAGAATAATAATACTATAAGATAAATAAACAAGAATATATTAATAAATAAACAAATAAACAATAATAATAAAATCACCAGAAAGTGATAACAACAACCATCAAGAATAATAATGAGAGCCATGATATATCGATGCTCAAAAGGACGGCAATAAAGTTTATACGACGATAATAAGTACCACAGATTCAAGCTACCCACTCCCCCTGAACAACTACTCCTAGAATACGTCTCATACTAGTAATCATGCAAGTACCTGTAGAACTACAAATATTTCGTATCTCAATAATTCACGCAGATTTTACCGTTCCCTTCAACTATTCTTATGCATTTATAGACAACTTCTACGATCTATGTTACATTCTCTATGGCTAGCTTTACTGTATACTAAAGCTATGATCACATTAACATCTTTATTTCATTTGGTCAGTTTTGCAAAAAAATTTCAATGAGGCTGACTTGCAAATGAAGTACAGCCAATCACCGTAGGTTACTGCCTTCTTACGCCTTGTGACTGACATTACCTATGAATTTATGACACATAAAATAACAAAAATAATCATAATAATAATCACATAATAGTAATAATTGAACTTGTAATCATAATAGCAATACTAATAATAAAAATGATAACAAAAAATAATAGTATAAAATAATCAAATCACAATCAAAACAACAACAACAATAATAATAATAATAATAATAATAATAATAATAATAACAACAATAATAATGATAACAGTAATAACAATAAATAATAATTTATGATAAAACTAACAACATAAATTAACAATGACTATCATCCTATATCAATAATGTCTAGAAAAAGAAACAAAGAAATTGATAATTCACCTCAATAACATTTTAGACCATTAAAAAACCCAGACAAGTGTGTCATAAGAAAAGAAAAGAAATGAAATGAAAAGAAAAAAAATATATATAAATAAATAAATAAATATATATATAAATAAAACTAGATACACAGGTAATTAGCACTCGGTCGACATGTATGGGCTTTCGCTAGTTGCATATGGCATTTGATAGTGACACTGAGTATAGATATGAGTTGGTGAATGTCTAAAGAACACTTTTATACCAATATAAAAAGGAAAAAAGAAAATCACAATGATTTATGAAATATTTTGCGAGATTTTTCTTTAAAAAATAAATTTTTGTGTACATTTACACATGAAATATGCTTTCCATTGAGAATCTCTGGTAACTTGCTATAGCTTCTAAAGGAGTCTGTATGTGTACAAAGTATGAAGTCTAGAAAATAAAAGTATAAATAATGATGATATTAATTCAGCTCAATTTCACTCTTATCAATTGGTACTGTCCACTGTCGTCATTTTTCATCTTTTTATCTTTTTTAATTTGAAATTGGTTGTTTTCATAGTAAAGAACACTTCTATATAAGGGGCATCTCAGAATATCAATTACTCTATGTTAAAAATGATAGTACACTATGATACCATCTCTACAATAAAAACTATATGGAATTTTGAAAATCAGTCTTAGGCACGGTCTACATAAAGCATTGAAACAGCTATTCTCCTTTTTTCTTTAGTCCCATTAAAAGAGGATTATCAAAACGTTTAAACTTATGTGTGTGTTTCTACAGATGTATAAACCTCCTCGAAAAATTTTAACCGCCAAGTGACCAGCTCAATATCTATCTATCCGCATCTGTTTATCTGTCTATAAATATGTACATACTAGCAACTGCTTGCATTAGAAAGACATTAACCTCTACACATTATGTGTGATCAATCATGGTGCAAACTTTCCCTGACCAACGTGCTGGATGTCATAGATTGTGTTTTGAGTTTATGATTTACCAATTAACCTCAAGCTCCTGCTCAACCATGACATGAAACCTACTCAATACCATACCATTCCAAAAGGAGAGTACTTTGTTGAGGATACTGGTTTATATGATTTGGATGAGTATCTAGAAGTTATGGTAAGTATAACTTGTACTATGCACATATAAAGAGTTAATAGCTTCCAAGAAGATAAAAATGCAGGTCTTTTCTATTAATAAATGTTTCACTGATGAATATTTTTCTTATTCTTTACTGACAACACATATAAGCCATTGAAATCATGTTAAAAAGTCTGGAAATATTACAATGCTTTGACCAATGTCAACGTTATTGCCTGACATATTTCGTGTTGTTCTTAAAAAAAGTACTTGGAACTGGTATAACTGGCAAACACAATGGCAGAATATTGATGATGTTTAATCTCAAATACATTTATAGTTTGATTAAAATATACTGATTTTGATGAAATATATCTATATTCTTTATTAAAATGACTCTTGGGTCTGTTCCAATATTTTTCAACTATACATATACAACAAACTTAGTAATTGAAACTTTGCAATGCTGACCAAATGAACAGTGAAGTCAGCAATGAAATTGCACTCTTATAATGAATTTAGATATATGTATATATAAATCAATAACTACACAAACACACTCAGACACATTCTTTTTTTTTTAATGCAAACAAAAATTGTCTTTTGTAAATTCTATTATTGGCACTTCTGAATTCTAATCTTATTATAATTATCTACATATCCTTAATAGTTATACTTCTTCAAAATAAAAACACTTTCATTATCTCACTCATTACTCTGTAGGTGGCTAGCATTTCTTACATACAGTTGTCAAGTCATGAAATATTGCTTTTATTCAGCAACACCTGTTGCAGATAATAATCAATTTTTGTACTTTTGTTTTGTAATTTGAAAAGTCATAACTTTTTGACGTTTCCTCCATCAGATTCCTTTTCTATTGTAGATATTCCTAAAACCAATTCAACTATTTGCAGTCATTGTTAGAGACCAGCCACTCCACTCCCAGAATACTACGTACTACACAAGTATAGCTAAATTAAAATTGTCACCTCCAGACTCATGGTGTACCAGTTGGAAATGTGGAGAACTGTACATGCCACATCCACTGGGATTTTTGTTTATTAGCTGCATTTACACTTAGTTGGCTCCACAAGTGCTTTATCATTAACCTTTAATCTTTTCCTTGATCTTTTAGATTTTTTTTCTACTGCTGATAACATTTAATAATTATGATGTCAATAATAATAACAACACTATCACTGACAACAGCATTAGATGAAAAAGGAAATAGGAAATCAGGTGAGGTTATGCTGGGCGAATTATAATTGACTCCTTTATGGCTGAGCACCAGTTGAGCCATCTGTGTGTAAAAACAATACATAAAACAAAAGTTAAGTGGACATTACATAGTCCTGAAGGCAATTGGCTAATATCAATCTTGAATTGGCTGTATGAAGATGATGAATTTTTCCACATGATAAACTTTTCACACACACACACGAACACGCGAGTGCGCATGAGTGCACACACACACACATACACACACACACATAATGCATTTTTTTTTTTTTTTATACATGATACAGAACAACACCACCAGAAGCATAACAAACAAGTATTTCTACCAGAAATGACAGATAAAGATAAACAAATGAATAAATAAAAAGAAAATGAACTGGACATGCTTATGACAAAGATGATTGGGGTGCCACAGCCATGCAAAGACCCACCATCACAGGAGGAGGAGATCTTACCAGCAGCCGAGCAGGAGTGGCCGTGGGGACAAACCTCCAAGGGGGAGAAGAAGACCCTCCGAGTTCCAACTGGTCAAAAGACAGCCCACATATATAAACAAAACAAGTGCACCATATGGAGTATAACCTACCACTGTCATCTCTACCACTTCATCTCCCTCTTCTCTCTTTCTTTCTTTCTTTCTCTTATATTCTCTTTCCATCTGTACCTCCCCCCTATATCTCTCTATATACATGCACATTCTCTCTCTCTCTATATATATACATATATATATTCTGTCTCTATATACATATATCTATATACATATATCTACATCTATATCTATCTATCAATAAATCTTTCTCTATCTACCTATATATCTATCTATATATACACATCTATCTACCTCTACCTCTATCTGTCTGTCTCTTCCTCTCTATCAATCTATTTTTTTATCAGTCCATCTAACTCTCCCTCCTTATCCATCTATCTCAATCTTTAGAGGTCTTCCTCTGAATCTCCAGCCCCCTCTCCCCCTTTCACTAAACTCCCCTCTCCCTCTCTCTCTCTCTCAATTTCCTGGCCTGTATGTGTCACTCCCTCTGACTTTGTTTCTGATTTTGAATAATCATATCCATATCTTTTTATCTTTGGCTATCATGCACATTACTCTCAGACACTCAGTCACACATTCATTATCTATCGATCTTTCTAATCTTTCTACCTAACTATCCACTAATCTGTCTCACTATTTAAGTTTATGTGTGGATGAAATAAGGTTTACCAAGTATGCTTCAAGAACTTTCGATCTCACTCTCCCTAGAAATACATTTTCCTTTGGAGTTCAGTGGTTATACCTAATTATAAGATACATATATACATATTAGGACATCAACTTTCCATAAGAGGAGCTAATGAAAAGCAGAAAAATGAATATACTTCAGGAAGCAAGATGATTAGTATCAACAATGGCTAAAACTTATGATGTTACTGTTTGTTAGTAATTTAAGTCAAACATCACAATAGGAAGCACTGTTAGTATCAGCTCCACAAGGGAATTAGAATTACAAATCAGCAACAATCATTATCTACCCATCTCTCTAAATCAGTTCTACAAACTTATATCAAAGACACTTAAATGCTGACATAAATAACTATTGAATAACTAACTCCCAGACAAATATTCTTATACAATACCAACATTTATAAATAATTCTAATCAACAAGGGTACACACCCTTCCTTTCCTGCAAATTTCCTTTATATAATATAGACCTCAGTATGATCTAAACTAAACATTCTCCTTCACCTTACACTTTTAAAACAAAATTCATTATAAATGTTTATTATTCTGCTACATCATTTGATACTTCCCTGCCTATGGGTAGCATGACTACAGACTTGGAAATTATGAGTGCTACAGATTTAATCTTGTGTATAACAAAATGACGTGTGGAAAATCACTAACAGTGACTTTTAATCATTTCAGCAACAAGTGAACAGCAAAAGCATAAGGTGTCTTGAGCATATTCCTCTGTTCAAGAATTGGAAGTTTGAAGTAGTCAATGTGATAGAGCAAGCAATTTGTGGGTAAACCAATTAGCGAAATTCGCCTCCAAGTTGACCTTACCTTTCGTGTATCGGCTGGGCCTTCAGAGGTAGACTCCCGCCTCTGAGTTCGTTTTTTAAGTTTACCAACTTCAGAAGGAGAGGAGGACTCCACCACCTGCCCCTCAATCACCTGTGGATGCTGCTTCTTTACTAAGGTCAGCCCTTCGATGAAGTAGGGCCCATAAAGGTCACCCAGCTTCTTTGAATGACTGTAGTTCTTGCATAATGAGCAATACCAGGATGTGTCTTTGGAGAAGGCATCATAGTTGTTGTGGAGTGTACTGTTATAACCAACTTTTGCAGTTTTCTGCTTAGCTTCAATTTTGCAATAGAACTGTATATTAGTTTTCCTCATGGGTCTTTCTGATTCGTCCTCATCACGATAAGGAGTGTTAATAATAACTTCTCTGCATCCGTTTTTATCCAATCGAATAAAAGGCCCTCTTCTCTCCCCTACATCACCCTTCTTTTTCCCATCATCACTCTTCTTTTTAAGCTCACTATCGTCACTTCTTGCCTTGCTGATCTTCACTTTACCCTTCACAACTTTTCCTTTCTTGGCACTAGAAGTGTCAGTCTTTACTTTTTTATTTTTATCCTTTTTGAGTCCCTTCTGTTTGGCAGTTCCACCTTTGCCATGTTTAAGGGCTGTTGGCACAAAGTTGCTATCACCCGCAGTATCACTAGCCCTAAGGAGATCACTCAAATTTCCCCCTCTACCCTCATTTTCCAACTCATCACCACTGTAATCTAAGCCATCATCATCATCATCGTCATCGTCATCATCATCATCATTACACAAACTGTCTACCCCATCTTCACTTTCAGCTGCACTATCTAAGTTCTCCAAGTCTTTGGGAACATAATCTTCATCTTCACTCTCCTCATCTTCCATGTTGAGTAACATAAGAAGATCATTCATCTCATTATCATCCATCTTTCGTGGCGGGCGTGAGGAGCGTTTGGGACGCTTGTCCGCATAACTTTCCTCAGCCGTTCCTGGAATATTAGAAGCAGTTTCCTCTAAAAACTTGGCAATATTTTCCACAGTCTCTGCATCAACATCCATGTCTGTACCATGTGGGACTACTAGAGCTCCGGGTTCAGAACCAGGCAAACTAGGAGGGTTCTCTTGAACCTCCTGTTCTGAAATAATACTGGGTTCTAATTCATTAATATCTGTATTTGGCAATGGACATGGAGTTTCCAATTTCTGGCACATATCTGCTGCCTCTGGCTTTGATTCCATTAACTCAGGTTTTGATTCAAGAGTTTCAGGTATGATTTCCTTGATTTCTACAAATGATTCCTGGATAATTGGACTTATTTCCTTGTCTTCTGGACATGGTTCCTGATTCTCAGAATTTTGTTCCTTCACCTCAGGTCTTTGTTCTTGAGTGATGTGCCTTACTTCCTGAGTCTCAAGCTTTGATTCTTGCATATCAGATGTAGGGTCTTGTGTCTCTGGCTTGGAGTCCTGCTTGATGCTCCCCCTCCTTGCCCTAAGCCTTCTCCCTCGAGATTCTGTCTCCTCTATTTGTGCTATCACAGGTGCAGTTTCATCAGTAGTATATGATAAAGGGGTTTCCATGGTGGGTCCATTCGATGGCATATCCAAAGCCACCATAGCATTTTGTACAGGTAGATTAACAGTGCCTCGCTTAGCTCTGCCTTTACGTGGAGAATCCTCGGGCTTTAGTGAGGTATCATGTACAGTAGCAGTAGGAACACCTAATTCATTTTTTTGGCTATTTGTCTTTTCAACACAGTGTGTGTTCACTTTTTCTTCCATTGGCTTACTAGTCTCACTGCTATCAAATGCATCATCAGGTACAGATTGATACTGTTTGGTTTCTTGTGGAAGCACATTGGTGTCTATGCTGATGATACCTTTTGTCTGATTTCCTTTTCCTTTTGGAGATTTCCCCCCTTTCTTCTTCTTTCCCTTACCCCTTCCCTTTCCCTTCCCTTTTGGGGACTTACTATTTGGAGATGAATTTTTTGTGACATGGTCCACAGAAGAGTTGGTGAGTTCTTCTGAAGCAATGTGTGGTGGTGGAGCTTCAGAAGTTTCACTACCTTTTAAGGTAACATCCTCTGTGGTCTTGGAAGGCTCCTCATCTACAGTGGAAATGTCTTGCATTTCCTCATTTGAGCCATCCTGAGTTGCACTTGCGTCTGGCTGAAAGTGATCAATGCTCCTTTTTCCTCTTTTTCGTATTCTACTACTAGGAGAAACTAAACTATCAGCTAATTGTGACCCCGAGGCTGCCATATCTGCAGCAATCTCATCCTTTTCCTCTTTGTTTTGTGCACTGCATGAAACAGACCCTGAGAGCAATGTGTTATCCTTAGAGTTGCCAGAGGAAGGGGAGTTAAGGCTTGAATCCATGGTTTCAATGGCTTTGCCATCTGGAGGGGTGAAGTCCTGATTATCACGAGTCTTATTCCTCCTACTACTCCGTCTTGGAGAGATGATGTTGGAGTCAGGTTTAGGTGCATTTTCCCCAGCCTGAGATTCATCACTCTGAGAATCCTTGACAGTTATTTCCTCAGGTTGTTGTATGGATTTTGAATTTTCAGCCATAGGTCCTCCTGGGATACTGGGTGCCATGTTCCCTTCCAGGGGTGGGGTTTCTGAGAGAGATTTGGATAAATCACGGACAGGTGGGGAAAAACTTCGCATCCATTCCTTGTTTCGCTCAGAAATGGGGCTACGAGAACTAGAAAAAAACTTTGGTGACCTTGGAGACTTAGATGCAGGTTCTCTGGGTCGTGGACTAATACTTGACTTTGCCATGTCTAGCGGTGACTTGGAATTTTTCTTTGGGCTACTTCCCTTTTTTCTACCACGCTTCCCTTTCTTACCCCGACCAACGCCATCACTATCGGTGTCATTGAAATCATAAACATCTGGGCTACAGGAAGAAGGTACAATAGGAGGTGGGCCAGGAACCCTTAAATCTGGTTCCTGAACTAGTGTCGTATCTACATGCAAGGGTTCTGTAATATTTGGGTACTCCTGAGCATTTGCCCCCAAGAGCCTTCCTCTTCCTCTTGGTGCCCCTCGGACAACACTTCGCCCACGTCTGCCACCCGTAGGAGAACTGTGAGGTGATTTTACTGGTTCTTCTCCTGAAGGTGCTGCAGGAGTTGGAGAACTAGCAGGTTCAACAGGGGTTTGCTGGTCTGGATTAGGGTCACTCTCTCCTTCAAGTCTTTCCCTTGCTTCCTTTAATTTTCTACCTTTCTTTTTCAATGGAGTTGCATCAGGTGACGAGTCCTCGTTCATTTCCAAAACAGGGTCTGTTCCATCCTCTACATAGGAGATAGCTCTCTTTTGCCTGGTCCTTCTTTTGTTTTCACCACTTTCATCTAGCTGCCCATCCACAACTGGATAATCTATTTCAGTTACTGAATCACTCTCAGACTTTCTTTTCTTATTACGTTTTCTTGGACTATCTAGCATTTCATGATCACCATTAAAATAATCCTGGTCATTTTTGCTTATATTTTTGTTTAACATATCTGCATCACTATTTTGCGTACTCACATTTAACGAAGACTGACTGTTGCTACTACTACCACTAGCACTCTTGACCACAGCCTCACTAGTTGCACTAAGACCATTTACTGGGGTGCTTTCTACATCAGGGCTTAAAGTATGTGCAGTACTCTTCTCACCAGACACTGAAACACTCACACTGGGCACATTATTCCCACCGATATCACTCCTCCCTAAATCACTTATTGTACCTATTACATCACTCACACTAGTATCATTCTCCAAGTAGCTCGGAGAACATCTTCGTTTCTTAACAGGTGCAGCAGTACTATCTACTGAAGCATTACTAGGAGGTGTCCTTACATTGTTGATATCCATCTCTGGTGGAGTGATCTGTGGTGGAGGCAAGGGTCTTGGGGGTTCCTGTACAGAGAAAGTCTCAGCTTCTCTGGGATGAGGCTCTAGGAGGTCAGTTCGGACCTGCAGCTGTTGCTGCTGTGGGTGAGGAGAGGACACGTCAGACTTCCCGGTGGTAGTTACAGTGGTAGCTGTGCTGACTGAGGTCTGGGCTACCTGTAGTAACTGACTGGGATTCAGATGAGCAGCTAAAAAAGGATGGGCGAGGGCATGGCTCATTGCCTGACTCATACCTTGAGTAGCAAACACCTCTCGGCTGGGGGCTAACCTAAGGGCAGCGTCTCCAGGTGAATCACTACGAAGAGAGTCATGGGGTGAGTCTCTGTGGTCCACGGTGGATCTCGTGAGAAGAATGTCATACCCCTGAGAATCATCTGAACTCGAGTCTCCTCCTCTACTTCCTGCTCCTACAGTTGCACCACCACCAACACCTCCACCACTACTTCCTCCTCCTCCACCAACACTACTCAATCCTCCTGCTCCTCCTCCTACTCCTACACCTCCTCCTCCTGCTCCTCCTCCACCTCCACCACCACCACCTGGTCCGCCTCCTCCTCCTCCTATACCTTCTGACTGTGCAGTTACCGGATATATCACACTTTGGCGCCGAGGCTGTTCCTGTTTACGGCGGTGCCTGGATCGTTGATCACCCTCACTCTCACTGCCACTTTGTACACGTCTACTGTCACTGCCACCATCAACACTACCATCAACCCCAATGGCAACTTCACTTGAACCTTTCCCCAAAATAGGAGTACATATCACTTCCTGACCACACACTGGGCCACGGGAACGCGTTCTACCTGGCGAGGGCTGCGGCTCATGGGACTCGTGGCGAATCTCAGCCGGGCCGGGGGGAGTGTGCTTCCTGCCCTGGGGTGACACCTGCTGCATGCGAGATGACCCATGCAAGCCCAGACCTTCGCCATTCAGCCCTGCAGTAGCTGCAGCAACTAAGGCAGCTGCCTGCTGCTGCTGCTGCAACTGTTGCTGCTGCTGCCTTCGCTGCTGTTGCTGCTGCTGCTGCTGCTGTTGTTGCTGTTGCTGCTGCTGTTGTTGCTGCTGCTGCTGCTGCTGTTGTTGCTGTTGCTGGTGTTGGTGCTGTTGTTGTTGCTGCTGCTGCTGTTGCTGTTGTTGTTGCTGTTGCTGATGATGAGAGGAGAGAGCTGTGGCAGCATGGAGAGCGGCTGGGTTAAGAGGAGGTGGGGCCCCAGGGAGTGCTCCCAAGGCAGCAGCAGCAGCAGCATACTGTCGTGCCGCCAGGACACGGTAGACAGCTGCAGCATCCCCACCTCCAGCAACCAGCTGCTGTAGGGAGGCTAGGGCTGAGCCAACCCCTGGGGCCATCCCCGGGGGAAGTGGGGGAGTGGCCTTTGTCTCACCCTTGCTGGGCACTCTCCGGCCTTCCCCACGGCTCTCAGAGCGGCCCTCGGCCCGCCCATCCACCTGTGCCTCCCCATAACCTCCATAGCCATACAGCCGCATGTCACCACCACCTCCTGTAGGGAAAGTAGACATATTGACTAACACAACTTACTATATTTCTTAGTATTGTATGTGGTCTTCGCTCTGCATTTCATGGCTCAAATATTCTATCATGATCTGCATTAAACATATATTCTAACTAAAATTCCTATTCTTCATACTCATATTGGAAACAAATAGTCAAACTTCTAATAACTCAAATGATTCAAAATCGCAAGCTGCCACATGCAAAATCACCAATTTCTTAAGTCATTCATCATACATACTGACTTCTCATGTAAACCAAGAAAAAAGGAGAGAGAAAGAAAAATAAATACATGATTATATATCTGATAAACAGAAAAGGAAATATCCTTTTGAAAGTAACACTCCTGAGAACTATGCAACCAAAATTATATAATTCTCTATATAATTCATATTGTCCTCCATTTCATAGTCGTTCTTCCATCAAATACTGACAAAAAAGAGAGTGTATAGAAATGCTTATTATCATTATTACTATCATTCTCACAATTTCTATTCTCATTATCAATATCATTACAATCTTTAATAATTAGAAAAATGCATCATTACTGACACATCAAGTCTGTCAGCCTTTCTTCTTCTACATTTTCATTTCATGAAACTTCCAAAAGAGAATTTGTAAATACACTACACAGCAAAACCTTCATTAGTTTATCTGACTGAAATGGTAAGCCTTCCCTTTCAGCAGCCAACTTTCCAAATCATTGGGCAACAAGTATTGGGGTTACAAAGTTCAAACACAATTAATACAAATAGGAATAGAAGACAGAACCAAACACCCACTCTGTAAGACAGACACTGTGGTTGTACTAATAGTGTGGCAGCTTGAAGTCCCTATTTTGCCAAGTTATTACTTAGGTGCAAAACAGGGAAGAAAGGCCATGCTCTAACATTCACGTTTACAACATCATGGGTAACAAATGTGTTAAAGGAATGATTGTTCCCATTTCTCACAAAACCTTTCCAAAAAGTAAAAGAATTAGATTTAGTTTGATGGTGGAAAATCAGTACTATTCTACTGCTACTTGCAATCAAAACTATTTCATCTCAAGACCATCTTTACTAAGTTTAAAATCATATACATTTATGTCACACTTTGGAAAAAAATGAATTATAGGGTATCCATCAATACCTAAAGAATAACAGTTATCAATCTACTCTATGATTCACAATCAAAATGAAAAAAGTGAATCTGCAAAAAAAGAAAAGCAAACCATTCCAGGCATAAACATCAAACAAAAACTTACCAGCTTTTACACACACACTCACACTTGCAATCACCTGAATTTACAATTTTACGTTACAGTACATTCTTGCAATGAAAAAAGAAAAAGAAAATGCTCTCTAACAAATCTTCTGAAAACATTATTTGTACACCTTTGCAATTGTAGCCCCAAACACCTCCCAGACTGTTCTCACACACTATAGAGATAAAACATACTGGGACAGCTTGGTTACCTTGCCATGCTGAGCCAAACCCAGGGTAGTTGTTGTACTGGAGTGACCTGCTCAGCTCCCCCCAAAGAGCCGCATTCCCAGCCGCAGTCGTCCCCCCATGACTAGCGCTGCTGCTCCCACTGCTGGTACTGCCCGTGCTGCCGCTGCTGTTTGTGCCTGGGGCTGCACCCCCACTCCCCCCATCACCCCGGTCCCGGCTGCGCTCAGCACTTCCTCCGTCGCTGTTAAAATCTGTCATTTCCCATTCAAGTTTAGTACTTACTTCAGACCAGAGTGAGATGGAGCAAGAGAGAGAGGAAGAGAAAGTGTAGAGGAGGAGGAAGGGGTAGAGATAACATAATGAGAAGAGGTATAGCAAGATACAAAGGAAAACAAAGAAATATAGATGGAGAGTGGAAGTGATTTAGGCGGAGCAAATGAGACGAAAGAAGGAAAAACAAGATAAATTTTACCAGATGGAAAGGGACAAAGGAAGTGAATAAGGAGCAAGGGAAAAAACAAATAATAGTTTATAAAACATGTGTCTAAACATTAATATCCATCATATAAAAGCAATTCAATCTGCATCCAGGTTTCATGTTACAAACTCTCCAAGGGCAAACAAAAACCTTGGAAATCAAACTGAGCAAACACTTACTTGCATATTGGTTCAGGGCTGTAGCATATTGCGCAAAATTACGCTGTCTGTCACCCATTGTGTTTCCTGAAAAAACAAAGAATCATACATAAGTTCACTGCATTTCAAATAATCATATTTATCTTTGCTTTGATGAAAATATAACTGAGAACAGCAATATATACAAATATCTATTGTAACAATAACTAAAATCTGTTATGGATATACAAAATGGGTTGGGGCCTCTCCTTGACATGTGACATATAAGGATAATATTGACAATATCAAGTCGACGGTGACAAGATATCCATCCATCAAACAAAATCACACATTATAGATCTCTCAAGTGAAAAATCAGAAGCTTAGGGAGCATACATTCACCTTACTGTGCACATTTGGCTGTGCCATACACAATTTTCAAGCATTTGAGACAGAAACAAACTTTTAACCCCACATTTGAGGAGCTGGAGCTTCTGAATTGCCACACCCAGAGCTAAACACTCGAAAATCTGTTGAGGGCACACATATTCAGGTTAGCTAACCACACATAGTGCACATTCTTGCTAACCAGCATTCAGCTTTGGTTATTATGGCAAGAATAGATCAACACTGTCAATAACAGATAAACAATCATCAAAACTGAGAAAAGTCAAAGATTGAAATAAAATCCAATAAATACTTGTCCCAGCTACAGTAATGAAAAAAATAACAGCACTACCATCATCCTCATATTCGCACCGAAAGTCCAATCTCTTGCTCACATTCTTTTCTCACTTGAGCAAAATCAGTTTACCCTCGAGTGATCGGGCATATTTGTGAATGATGGGTCAACAGACACAAGACTTGGTCCATCGTATCCACTCGGCACAACCTTGCCCACTTCCCTTGCCAATAATCCACTGCCCCACAGATATCCTCTGGCCACAAAGAGGGGATATGTTGCATGAATCCTGGAGTTTGGAGGTAAAAGTCATGTTCAATTTTCTTCCCCTTTTGATTGCTGGAGATTCCTTGCAAGTGAAGAGATTGTCTTTTAGTTACCTGTACATAAAATTAATAACAACACCTGTATAGACATTTCCAATACAAGCTAAACAATACTCATAACAATATTGATTGAAAAGCTGAAGTAGTATTTTTACAGTTGACATTGCTTTACCAGTAGAAGAATAGAGTTTAAGTCTAGTAGTAAAAAGGGTACAACTAGTAGCAACTGAAATAAAAGCTAGTAGCAAAAGTAGTACTAGTGGTGGTGGTAGTAATAGTAGTGGCAGTAGTAGCAAAAGTTGTAGTAGACATAGTAGTAGCAGTAGTAGTTGCAGAGTAGTAGCAGCAGTTGTAGTAGTAGTAGTAGCAGCAGTAGTACTAGAACTAGCATTATTAGTAGTAACAATGACAGTAGTAGCAGCAGTTGAAGTAATTGTAGTAATCACAGTAGTAGTAGTAGTAGTAGTAGTAATTATAGTAGTAGTAGTAGTAGTAGTAGTAGTAGTAGTAGTAGTAGTAGTAGTAGTAGTAGTAGTAGTAGTAGTAGTATCAGTAGTAGTAGTAGTAGTAGTAGTAGTAGTAGTAGTAGTAGTAGTAGTAGTAGTAGTAGTAGTAGTAGTTAGTATAGTAGTAGTAGTAGTAGTCATAGTAGTAGTAGTAGTAGTGGTAGTAGTAGTAGTAGTAGTGGTAGTAGTCATAATAGTAGTAGTAGTAGTAGTAGTAGTAGTAGTAGTAGTAGTAGTAGTAGTAGTAGTAGTCATAATAGTAGTAGTAGTAGTAGTCATAATAGTAGTAGTAGTAGTAGTCATAATAGTAGTAGTAGTAGTAGTATAATATAGTAGTAGTAGTAGTAGTAGTAGTAGTAGTAGTAACACTAAAAGTAGTAAAATCAATAAAAGTTGTACGAACTGAGGTAAAGATAAAGACACAAGTAGAGGGA